TAATAATGATAATAATAATAATAATAATAATAGTGATGTTGATGATGATGATGATGAAAAGAAGAAGAGGAATAGAAAAGTGGTAATAATTCAAGAAAAAAAAAAGAGAACAGTAGTGCATTTATGCATTAAGTGATTAATGTAGTAAAAGAATTTGAGTCGTTGGTAAAAAAACAGAAAAAGTTAAATAATTTTGCTATTGATTGGCATTTTTGTTAATCTGAAAAATGAAGAGATAATGATTAGAAAAGAGGAAAATAAACAAGTAAATAAATAAATAAATAGCTATCAAGAGGATGACTCATTAATATCAATTTGATAATTGGCATAATTTAAAAAAAAATTAAAGTCGGATGACAGCAAATATAATCACTAACATCAATGATTGATGTATTAATTTGTTGAATGAATATAAAAAAAAAAAAGAAAAGTAAAAAGGATTAATTATTATCATCAATTCTATTTCAAATAATAAAATTAAAGTGGAAAATAATGAATTTTCGGAAAAGTTCAAAGAAAAAAAACAAACAAAGAACCGCAAAGGGTATAATTTAATTTGATTGTTTTTTTTTCTTCTTTTTGATGATAGTACTATCTAAGTAAATGTTAGGATCAAAAAAAAAAAATTGAATCAATAAATTCTTAAAATTCCAAAATATCATAACAACACAATAACATTACTAACTATACAATTTAAGAATTTTTCCTTTTTTTTTTTTGTAAATTGGAATTTTTGTAATTAACGATGATTAATTATGATGATTAATTTGAATCAAAAATATCTTCTAGGAAGTAAAAAAAAAATTTTAGCGAAAAAAATTGCTAAAAATAATTAAATATTATATATGAAATACTTGAAATCAAAAAAAAAAGGGAAAAAACAGAAAAACATATACATTTTTGATGAAGATAGACAACTACTTCTTTAACGATAAAGTATAAAATTAACATTCGCTCTTTTTCCTTTTTTTTTTTTCAGATTAAATTAAAAGAAAATTAAATATCTTTTGGAAAAAATTTTTTCAATCCATTCTATTGCATATTATTAATTTCATTTTTAACCAATGAAAACATTCAAAAAAGTTTATTATTAAAGCAAAAAAGCAGAATTCATATTTTGCAATATGTCGCAGTAAAAAATCATCGAATCTTCTTGATGATTACTTCTAGGACATTCTAGTAGTAGTAGTAGTAGGGGACAATGTGTATCATAAATTATTGAAATAAGAAAAAATGGATGGCATTTCGAATATTAGCTTTTCTCTTTTCTTTTCTTTTTCTTTTTTGCTGAAAAGATTGAAAGATACTTAAATATCACAGAAAAAAAAACGAAAAAAAAAGAAAAAAAGAAAAAGAAAATAACTTTATGTCAAATTTGCTAATTATACGAACAATTAATGTGACAAAGTTGAAGTAACAGTGAAATGATTTCGTACATATTTGTCGAAATTTAAATAAGTAAGCGTATTTTTGACACTTTTAACTTGTCATGATTTGAAATGCAAAATTAGGTTTATCATAGAAAGGGAGAAATTGACGAATTGTCAATAGAATTAGGATTAGGCATTATCAAAACATTTCACTCATGCCTTTATTGGTTCTTTTTCTTTCTCATATGCTATATACATCATTACCATCACATCATATGATGGATTTGGCTAAGGCCAAAGCGATATTATTCCATTCAGGCTATTTGATTTACTAAAAAGAGTAGGAAAGAGGGAATGAAGGAATGAAGGAATGAAGGAAGGAAGGAAGGAAGGAAGAAAGAAAATAAAGAATGAAAGGAAGGAAATTAACAAAAAGCGATAAATTCAAGGGAACCATGGGAGAAAAATGAAGATGAATTTTTTTTTTTTCAATTTCAAAATGAATTCAAAAAGGAAACTGAAGAAAAAATTCTTTTTTTTTCTTGTTTAAGAAATGATGAAAAATATCTTTTAGCTAAAAATCAATATTGGAATAATGAAATGTAAAACGGAAGAAAATTGTTATTTGAATTTTCATAAAATATATTTCTATTACAGATTTATATCCTTTCATTCATTCATCCATTCATTCATTCCATTCCATTCATTTATTTATTCATTCATTCATTCATTCATCCATTCATTCATTCATTCATTCATTCATCCATTCCATTTCATCCATTTATTTATCCCAATTTCTTTACATTACGCATATATGGCTGGTCTTATTATACATCTTAATTGGAATTCAACCATGGAAATTCAAACAAATTTGAAATTGTCACCTCGTCCAGTATCCTATACCTTTCAACTTTGACCTTCCTTCGTGATTATATGAGTAATATAGGGAATCATTAGACAACAATTGGAAAAAAACATTTATTGTAAAAAGAAAATTCGATCGAATTTTTTGAAATAAAATTCGATCGACTAATTCTTATCTCAATAAAATTCTACCTAATCTCTATTTTCTCCTATCATAAAATAATCTTTTATCTATAGCTGATCTATGATCGATAACAAAAAATCATGTCAAGCATATTATTGTTGGTTGGTTAAAATGAAGCTAAGAAAAGCAAAAAAAAAAAACAGGCTGATTAATAGATCATTGAATTGAATAATATCGTATTGATTTTTGAAATAAAAATTCAAATAAGAACTATTTTCTTTTAAATTTTTATATTGAAATTTAATTTCTAAAATTGTTTCTACACAATAAATGTAAAAGGTGAATTAGAGAGGTCAAAAATGAAAGATCAAAAGAAAGAGAAGTGCTAAATGAGGAGAAATTTTACGGATGAAATAGTACGTGAGAAGAAAAAAAGAGGAAAAAAAGGCCATGCAAGGATTAGAAGAGAAAAAAAGACAAGAGAAATGCTTCAAAATATCAAATAAGAATTCAAATAGCAATACCTACCCAATAAACATTTGCAATAAAGTAAATAATTTTTTAGCTAGCCAAAAAAAGAAAAAGTGAAAAAGAAAAAGAAAAAAAGGAAATAAAAAGAATGAACCTTAAAAAAGGAAATCGAAAAAGTTAAATTTGGCAGAAAAGTGTGACAGGAATTCCGGATCCGGTTTTTGCGGGTCTTTATGGAAAACAGAGATGTTTGTGCATGTGTATTTGTGTGCATATCTATACTGAAAAGATTAATTTAACATTTATTAAATTGATTTATCCATCATGAAATGACAGTGTAAACTTACGAAACGTTTTTACGTTAGCTAATTTCCGTCGAATAAGCTTAATAAAACTTATGATAAGCTCTGGAATGCAATCTATCATAGGATGATTTGAACATTTTTTACAGTAAAACTTTTCAATTCTTTCTTTTCAATCTGATAAAAATGATAAAAATATCATTTTTCTTTTTGTCAAGAAAAAAACAAAAAAGAAAGATTTTGTAATATTTTTTTTAATGTGGAAAAAAATGTCACAAAAAATTTTTTCCTCTCTTTAAATTCATTTTTAAATTCCTTTTTAATTTGTTGTAAAATCGATTACACCCAAAATTACAATTTGTAATAAAATTGAAATTAAGAAATTAGAAAAAAGTAAATAAATAAAAATTACTTATTAAAATAATTTCATTTTATCAGAAATTATTGCATTGTATGATTATTTTAATAATTATGATAGCATTAATAATTAACTGAAGTAAGTGTCCATTATCAATCATTCTGTGAATGGATGAAAATTCGAGAAAAATGATAAATCCATTTTTTTGTTTTTTTTAGAATATATCACCATATTCATTTCCCTATCTTTTGTCATCTTAACTAATTGTTTAACTAAATTATCTGTTATATTTGAATTTAATTAATTTGAAAATACAAGGACAAATAGAATTATTTCAAAATTAGTAATCGATAATTTATGCAATACATTTTGGATATGTTTATTTTAATGTATACCATTGAAAAAATTTAAATTATTTTGTGAAAATTTCATAAAAATAACTAAAACGAAAAAAAAAAGGAAACAAATGAATGAATGAATGAATGAGTGATCGAATGAGTGAATGGATGATCGAATAATTGAATGGATGAGTGGTTGAGTGAATAAGTGGTCGAGTGATTGAATGGCTGTGTATTGATTGGAGTGAGTGATTGAGTCAATAAGTGATTGAGTGAATGAGTGATCGATGATTGAGTGGCTGAGTGATTAATTGAATAATTGAATGAATGTGTGATTGAATGATTGAGTGAATGGATGATCGAGTGATTGAGTGAATGGGTGATTAAATAAATGATTGAATGAATGGATGGATGGATAGCTTCTCATTTTATAGAATATTTTGCAAAAGATATAAATAAAAAAAGGAAATTTTGTTAAAGTACTTTTCCTTTATTTCATTTTATTAAAAGAGAAAAAAAGTTTCTTCTAAAAAAACAATTCAAAAACATTCAAAAAACATTCAACCAAAAACATTTATTTATCAAAAAAAAAGAAAACCTACTAATAAAATTGATGTCAAAAAAAAGAAAAAACCTTTTTTGTCTCTTTTTCATTTCATTTTTATATTCTTAAAAGTAATGTATTAAGTTATAATTAAATTTCTTTTTGCAAATAGAAATTTCAACGGAGAAAAATTTTTTTTCTTTTTTTTGAATTTATAGTTGCAAAAAGTGAGTAAATTAATTTTATTAACTTATTCATCATCTTATCAAATATCATTTTACATATATTTTTTCCCATACATTCTATTGATTTTTTATAATTGATAAATTATTTAATTCTATGGAGAAAAGAAGTGATAAAGAAATGGAAAAATGAAATGATAAGAGGCAGAAATATATGATAATGAATGTTTATCGAATTTAGAAGTATTATTGAAAAGGAATTTTTCAATGTGATCACTTTTAATTTTTTTTTTGATATAAAATTCATTTGCTTAATTTAAAATAATATGAAAGTTTTCATCAAAAAAAATAAGAAAATGACAAAAGTATATACTTTCATTTTTTGTTAAAAATGATTACAAATGATTACCACTTAAGATACGTGTTTGAAGTATTGTTGAATGTTGTTGATTAATTCGTTCATGTTGAGTATTATGTCGTTGACGGCACAATTTACCACGTCGTTTACTACTGTTATCAGTGATACCGTATGATATTGATGTTTTTGTATAAACATTTTTACTACTTTGAATATCATTACCATTAGTATTTCCATTCATTGTTGAAATTATTAATCAAATTTTTGTTTTTTTCGTTGTAAATTATTTTGACACAATTGAAAACGTTACATTTGTACCGTAATTTATGCATATATGTATGATCCGTTATTCACTGCAAAAAAAAAGTAAAGAAAAATGAAAAAGATGCACTAAGATTTTGATTTTATTTTTATTTTTTAGATTTTTTAAAATAATTTCATCCGTGGGAGAAAAGGAGGAAAAAAGAAAGAAAATTGAAATTATTTGAAAGTAATAAAACAACGATAAAATCATTTTAATATATGACTAATTAACTGATTAATTAAAACTGTAATAATCATCTGAAAAGTGTCAATTTAAAAATTTGAAAAGTATCGAATAATCAATCATAACCGAATGAATTATTTTTCTCTTCATCATTTCATTTTATTTGATTCCAATTTTTGAAATGTAATTAGCTCAAAAAAAAAAGAATTTGATTTTTGTAGTTGAAATAAAAATTTGAATAAAATGAATTTCCATTTTTTGTTGTCGTAAAATAAAAAGAATAAAAGAGGAGAAAAATATCACAAAGAACAACATTTTTTTAAATCAATAATTTTTATATTTATTTTTTGCATTAATACGATAATAATCCATAAAATGTGATATGAATAGTTTAACAAAAAAAGAAAAATCTTTCGAATAAAATCATTCCTTTTTTATTTTTTGATAAAAGCAATAGATAAAAAGGTCACTAAAATGTAAACAATAATGAATGTTTTTTTTTCTTTTATTTTTTTAGATTTGCTATTCATTGGTTACAACGTTCTCATCTTCAATTCATACTTTCCACAAATATATATACATTCATAAAATGTTATTCCTTCATTCTTTTCATCATTCTTCTTCCAAGCTATTTTCAAAATATCTATTTGTAATGAAAATAAATAAATGTTACATCATGAAAGTGCAATCAAAAATGCTTTTATTATTATTATTATTATTATTATTATTACTATTATTATTATTATTATTATTATTATTATTATTATTATTATTATTATTATTATTATTATTATTATTATTATTATTATTATTATTATTATTATTATTATTATTATTATTATTATTATTATTATTATTATTATTATTATTATTATTATTATTATTATTATTATTATTATTATTATTATTATTA